AAAAAAAAAAAAAAAAAGAAATAGAAAAATGTTATTCCTTCTTCTCGACTTATTTTTACACGTAGAATCATCCCGTTTCACAGTTGTATCGTGAAAACTGACACAGATGAGATGCAATTCTCCCGACTTGCAATTAGCTTTGCAAGTCTGTCTCTCTCTATAATGAACGTGTGCATGCGTGTGTATGATGGTGTGATCGTATACAATGTTGCAAGGTGTGTTCGTTTGTGAGGACCAAGGTGGGTTAGTAGGTCGAGGCTGGTAACTCGCGTGCATCATCACGCAGACTGCAACAACGATCTCGAGTCGTGCAGCAGGAAACACTGGAGCGACTGTACTTTCCTATCAGAAGAGGATAGTTTTTTCCAAAATTTGTTTCGCTCGAAAATCCTCGAAAAATTTTGCTCGAACATTCACGGCCGACGAATGGAAACGAACGAAGTGTGACAAGGAATGCAACGAATGTGAGAGGACGATGACAGAGTTTGTGTTTCGGTGAGTCGAGCCATCTAAATTCGTCGAATTATGCGAAAAATCTGGATTTGAACAGAAACGAGGGTCTTGCGATAGGTTGAGAATTCAAAGCGAAGATATTCTTGATTCACTTCAGTGGGGATTATCATGCGAGATAGTGTGATAGTGCTGTACAAGGTATCCTAGAGTTATTGATATAAAATGCATTACTCAATGCTAGCCTTGAATTGTTTTACGTAAACGCGGTGAAGTGTTGAACAGAGCGAAGTCGTGAAAATTTATTATACAGTGTCGTGTATCAGAATAAAATAAAACATTTGTTTTATCCAACTATTCTAAATCTAATCCGTAATTCTCGAGCTCTAATCTAATGAATTTTGATGCAAATTTATTTGAAGGATTTCACAGTTTTTGGTTTTCATATCACTCGAGAACATTCGTGTTAAGGTTTCTGTTCACTCAGTTGTGAAATATTTGCAATAGCAAATGTACATATGATTCAACGCAATACTGACATACACTAACATTCTGCATTCAATCGGTATACATGAGAACATATTCATTTTATCCATTCTAGTAGACATTTCTATTATCTTATTAATAAACTGTGAATCTGGAAATTTGAAAGCGAAGCAGGCAATGCATATGACATGCAAAAAATATATGAAATATCTAACGCTAGGAAAATTAAATTGTTAATTTGTAACTTTTCGTAGAAAACTTCACAGATTTATTTTCGGAGGCTTGGGTGATTTCGAAATGTAATAATAATTTTCTGCCTAAATTTTTAATTCTCTTCATAAAAGTCTACTTTCTTTCGAATAATCTTCATTCTTTCATCAAATATCTGAAAAATCGTTTACTAAACTCGTTGCACGTAAACCGAATATACATTTTTTTTAATTATCTTCATGAAAATTGCATAAACATCCGCAGTCTATGTTACCATCCTTGATAATTAAGAATGACAAGGACTCGAAGAGTCTGTAACACAAGATAAAGTAAATACAGAAAAATATAGAAAAAAGATTTACCGCGTTTATGAAATACTGCAACGAACGTCCGAAAGAGTAAACGATTATGTACTTTCGGTTATGCATACACGCACTGCATGAGCTTTGCCAAATGCGTTCCAGAAATCTGAAGTCACGCTCTGATTTTGGCTCGATCTTCTTGCAATGGCGCAACGCGAAACGCGTCTATAACTATGTCTCGTATAAAATGGATCTCCGTGAATTCATTTGAAACCATCGACAAATGTTTCAAACAGATATTATACTGATTTTAATTTTTCTGCGTCGTGAGATGCAGTGTCGTTTTAATCTGATTCAGTTCCTTGTATGGATATCGTAAATAAATGAAACACACGTAGAGAAAGGTCTTTTTATAAAGTTGACATGTCGACTGTCGAATTTATCAATATTATATAATGGTTGCGAGGAAAATTTAATACGTATTAAAGCATTTGATTAATTGGATTCAAGTTGAGCATTAAATTTTATAAATCATTTCATGTAAGATATTTTATAATTAATAATATATTAATTCCCAATTTTAAAACGAATATTTTAATGATATTCTGAAAATGAAATTAATAAAACCTTACGTTTAAAAAATATTTTTTATAACCAATATAATAGATATATTACAAAAATTTTATCAATATTATATAATAAGAGATGATTATTATGATTGCGTTGGTAAAACTTGAAATGAATATAAAAATAGCAAGATATTTATTGTATATATATATTCAATGAATTAATAGTCACAGCATCAATAGCCATCTTAAATGTATAGTAAGTGTTAAATATAGTATTAAAGCCATATCAAAGCTTATTACTGTAATGAATAATTGACTATTTAAATATATACTTTTATGACCTGTATGACCAATATAATTATGACAGTTGTGTCTTGTTATAGTTATATTTTTCAACAAAATTTCAGAGTGTTCCATACAACACACATAATATATTCCTACAAACGTTCAAATACTTTTGTAGTCAGCTGTGTTATATCAATAATATTTTAAATAACAATTCTCAACAGCACAAGAAACAAAATCTTCGCTACGACTCCAACGTCAGACATCTGAGGATTAAAAAAGATATAATTTTTCAATGATTGAATCATTCATAAATAGATGCACGAAGAATGTAAGAGACCTCATATGTGAAACATCTGTTGATATTCTTAAATTATAACAGCTTAGAACATGTTCTCGATTAAACGAAACACTTTGTATGAGTGAAAGGAATTTTACTCAAATGC